CACACACACACACACACACACACACACACACACACACACACACACACGAGTAAAATTTTGCAAGCTACCACAATGTATAATCAGGAGCTAGAAAACCAAGATGCCTGTGTCTTACATCCCTGACTTGCTAGTGACACTAAGACGGGACTTTTTTGGTACTCATTTTATGATGGTAAAACCCAGTGGGATTCATCAATTCAATTCCCTTGGTGTGACTAAGGCAATTAAACTTAAATTCAATTTAACATCTGTTAAGTCACTGTTTTGTGCAAAGCACTGTACTAGGTGCTGCAAAGGAAAACTGTCCCAGCTGTCAAGAAGCTGAACTGGAGAAAACACTCCACAGATTAAGTACAATATTCTTTCTACTCTTATTCAATGATAATTGAGTATTATTGAGGAGAGAGAAAAACACTAGCTACTTAAGGGATAAAGAGGAGGCTTCATGGAGGAGCTGACATCACAACTGAGCTGGAAGAAAGGATTCTGACAGGTGGAGAGGAGGAGGAAGCGCATTCCAGGCACGCAGACTGTCATGTGACAGAAGACTGACTGCAGGGTTAAGGAAACAGCGAGCGCTCCAGTTTGACTGGAATGCTGTATTCCAAGGCTGGAGAGTTATGGAGGTGCCAGAGCACGGAGGGCTTTTAATGCCAGGCTAAGGAGTTTGACTTTTATCCTGGAGGCAAAAGAAAGCCAATGAAAGTTTTTGAGATACAAACTGACCTATGCTTCGGGAAAGATTACTTTGGAAGGTATGTGGAAGACGGATTTGAAAAGGGTAGAGAATGAAGACATTTAGGAGTTATTACAACAAACCAGGAAAGAGAAAGGAAGGCTTGAACTAAGGCGGAGGTTATGTTAGTGAACAGAAGGGAACGGACATAACAGAATTTGTGAAGACTGAACGGGCCATGGCAATGGATTGGTGTGTGTGCGTCTCATGGGAGGACCAGCAGCACTCTCAACAGAAATAAGGAAGTCCAGAAGAAGGGAATATTTAGGAGAAACGATGATGAGTTTTTTCTCAGACATGTTGAATTTGAGTTGCTGACAGGACATCAAAGTGGAGATGTTCAGTAGGCACTGAGATATAGGGCCGGAGATAAGGAGAGATATTAGGAGCTGCATAAAGAAATTTGGGGGACAGGTAAGTGGCGCAGTACAGAGAGCTCCCACCTTGGAGTTGGAAGGACCTGAGTTCAAATCCGGCCTCAGACACTTGATACTTATAGCTGTGTGACCCTGGGCAAGTCACTTAATTCCAACTGCCTCACCCAAAAAAAAAAAAGAAAGAAAAGAAATTTGGGAGTCATCTACATAGAGATAATAACCAAATCCACTGGAATAAATAAGATCACTGAAAACATAAAGAGAGAAAATGGCTGAGGACCGAGCCAGAGGCGATTCACTCATGGTTATGGGGCACGAGATGCCTGCTAATCAAGCCAAGGAGACTGAGAAGGAATAGTCAGACAGGCAGGAGGAAAATCAAGAGGGCAATGTCACAGAAGTCAAGAAAGAAAAACTTATCCATAAGGTATGGTGGTAACTGGCGTTCAAGTTTCAGTGAAGAAGAGGATTGAAAGAGGACTGCGGAATTAAACAGTGAAAAGACCACAAATAACCTTTGAGAAAGCAGTTTCAGTACAGTGGTGGGATGGAAGCCAGATCACATGGAGTTCAAAAGAGAATAGGGATGAGTAGATGCAATGAGTACAAACTATTTTTTAGGAGTCTGGCAGTGAAAACAAGGCTAGATATAGGGTGACAACTTGAGAGACTGACAGGATTAGGTTTCTTAAGGAATGATATTTTATTTGATTCAATGATTTCATTTAAAGTGCTAATAACTAGTAGCTCAAGAATAAGGGGACCTTATCCTGTTGTTCCATGTTGGCAAAAATAATCAGCACTGCCTGACATCTAACAAAGCTATAGATTTAGAACCCACCTATCTTGCCACTGAAATGCTCTTAAAAGCAAGAGAAAAGATGGATTTTTTGCACACCAAGCCAGGAATAAAAACTTACAATCTTCCTCTGCCCCCACAAGGTGACAGCTGTCCTAGTTATTGCTAACTTTTACCTATAAGATCACGAGCCATCTCCTGATCCTCCTGGAGTCGACATACATCACTGAGCTGTAGTAGCGAGTCTATGTGATAAGGGTTTCCCTGCAGCAGCAGCTGAAAATACAGGGGAAAAGAGATGGTTGACTATGACATCAAACACATAATGTTTAATGCAACTGTCCTTTGGAAATTAAGCCTTTGAGTGTACAAATAACATAAAAGCACTCAATTGATTCATATTTCTTTTACAGCACGTTTAAACTTTCTCACATAAGGGAATTCATTTGGAACTCAAAAAATATCTGATAGTTTTCCCCTCTCCATCATGTACATATCAGTTTATACGCCAGAAGAGGACTTGGTGTCCTGCCCTGGTGTTGAGAGGATAATCACAGAATCTCTAAGTGGGAAGAGACTACAAAGGCAATCTAGGCCAACCCACATCTGAACAAGCATCCCCTCTCCAACACACCCAACAAGCGGTCACCCAACCTTTGCCTGATGACCCCTCTCACGGGGCACAGCTTATAGTCTCCTCCTGGCTCTGACCTTTGTGGCCAAGAAGGTGGTTTACTATCTCTTCTATCTAACAGTTTTTCAAACATCTGAATAAAGCTAACATGTTTCAAGCAAGACTTCTCTTCTTGGGGCTAAGTATCCCAAGCTCCTCCAAATGATCCTCACATGTAACAATTTCAAGGCCCTTCACCACAAATGGATTACCCTCTTTTGGATGCTTTCCAGTTTATCAGATAACGTCCCTCCTAAAATGTGATGCTCAGAGTTGAATACAACATTACAGACACCATCTGATCAGAGAACTATCACGTCCTCAGCCCCAGACATTCTGTCTCAACGCCATCAAAGATTATGTTAGGCTTTTGGCTGTCATATCACACCACTGTTTCATGCTGAGCTTTCAGTGCACTAAAACTCACACAGCTGTTTCAAACTCCGAGATTATTACATTTCTCCTACCTTGTTCTTGTTGATTTTTTAATATAAGACTTTATTTTATTCTTATTAAATTTCTTCTCATAAGACTTTATTGGTGCAAAGTTGCAGGCTGTCAAGATTTTTTTTAGATTAATCTATCATGCGGTGTGTTACCTATGCCTCCTAGTGCTGTGTCTCACTTGCAAATTTGAGAAGTATGCCATTTATATCTTTATTCAAGTCACTGATAAAAATGTTAACCAGCACAGGGCCAACCATGACAATCTGGAAGTCTTCATTGGAGACCTTCCCCAAGCTGAAATTGAGCTATTCATGCTACTCTTTTGGTTCAGCCATTCAGCCTGTTCTGAATTCACCTAATTGTGCTGTCTTTTAGCCCCACTGCTCCATCTTTCCTACAAGACCTGGCTAAAATCTAAGTAAACTATCCCTACAATACTGCCTTGATATGCCAGGTTAGTAACCGTGCCAAAAAAGGAAACAAAGATAGATGGACCTGACCTGTTCTAATGAAGTCATGCTGTTGCTTCATAATGTTTCTTTTCAAGAGGCTAACCACCGTTTCAATAGTAAGTACTAAAATTTTGCCACAAATCAAAAATCCAGTTCAATAGCCTATAGTCTACAGACTCTATTCTCTTTGCTTTTTAAAAAATTGGATCAAAACCCAAGCTTTTCCAGTCCTTATGCGCCATTCTTGTACAATGTGACTCTTCAAAGATCTCTTACAGTGGTTCAGCAATCACAATGGCCAATTCTTTCAACTAGCTGGAATGTTCTTTTAGGCTTACTCACCTGAGTTAATCAAAGGCATGTCCTACTATCGAACTAGTTCTTGTGGATATCAAGTTCCTGTCACCCATTTTATCTTTCCTAATCCAAAGATCCTTCTTCTTAGTAAAATAAAAGTTGGCAAGTTCTGTCTCCTTTCTGTTGTCAGTTATGATTGTTCCATCAACCCTGGTCCTATAACATACCCTCCTATATTCTTTTGCTCCCAATATAGGTTTAAAACTAAATTAAACTAAAAAACCCCCCAACTTTTGTTATCCTTGGCTTTCCTTGCCAGCCTCAGCTTATTCTGGGCTATAGTGCTCCTGAGGCTATTCTTACAACATCATTCCAGGATTTTAGAACCATCTTCTACTACCTGCCTTTGCTTCCATCTTGAGTACATCTTCTAAAAAATCGAAACTGTGTTATCTATATATTACATTAATTTCTTCAGACACCTCCATTTCCTCATCAAAATTCTTTTTCACTACATTTTTTAGACTTTATTTAGAGAACTCCATTCCTCCTAGGCCAACTTCCCTTGTAAAATGTCTGTCCATGGGATTCTACCTATCCTTTTTCTGAACCTTCTGAAATTTGTCCTCTCTAGAGCATAAGTGTGGTTATATTCGGGCTTCTTTTCATCCTACCAAAAACCCTAAATTCACAAGGTTCCCAGAGACAAGATTTGGACCAACTTTGGGGTCACACAGGGGTGGGGAACCTGCTGCCTCGAGGCCACATCTGGCCTTTTAGGTTTTCAAGTGCGGCCCTTTGACGGAATCCAAACTTCACAAAACAAATTCCCTTAACAAAAGGATTTATTCTGTAAAATTCAGTCAAAAGGCCACAGCCAAAGACCTAGAAGGCCACAAGTTCCCCACCCCTGGGTCAGAGTATGTCGATAGATACATTTCCAGGAGCTCCTCTGGAGCTCAGAGCCAACTGGGCATCCAACAGTTCTTAAAACCAGGCTGTATTTCTCACTGGCACACCTGCACTACAAGCAAGGCTCTCCACCGGTATTTATGAGCATGATAACCTGTCATGTGAAGGAAAGAAACAAGGACAGGGCACTGTTATATTTTCAATTTTGATCAATTCTGCTTCAATGGTCCTACCTAGCACCTAATCAGCTTATAAGACCCGTCTAGAAAAAAATCATGTTGCAAAGAGATCTATCTTTAACAGTGATACAGGTCTGAGAGTGGGAGAAGTTTGCTCATTTGAGTTTTGTAATTCTTCAGATCCTGAACAACATATGCATATCACTTCAACTAAGGTCCTGAGTCTCAAATTTTCCTATCAAATTTAAGAAGATTGGACATGTTTCACAAAACTTCAATGGGGAAGTTGTTCTACTAAAATGCTAATAAATGACTTTGCTTTCTTCTAAAGGAAAAGGTTTAAAAATAGAACAGCTGGTAGCTAGACCCTGTCTTTAAAGGTCATCTCACACTTATTTATATAATCATTTCCCATTTCCTCAGCTGAAAGGACTCACACAAAGGAACTTTCTGATTTCTCATACTGGCCTGAAAGCTTGTTCTTTACTTTCTCCCCTTTGGCCATTGGGGGGGGGGACGGACGGACGGTGTTACCACAACATGACAGCGGCCCAATAGGGTGGACTGTACGTTCAGAGTAGCCACACTCTCTTCAAAACATACCACAATATTATTTGGGTCCATGGACTCCACTGCATTTAGGAACTGGAACTGCACCTGCTGGTACTCTCGGTGGTGTTCAAATGTGAAGTGCTGAACTCCCCTTTTTGATTCCAGCACTCGCATTGTAATACCTAGAATTAGTGGAAAGTCTATCAGTGAACCAAGCCAATCCTAGCCAGCTTCAGCAGGGTTATAGCATCTCCAACACTCACAAAGTTACATGTATTAAGTCGGCAACAAGGAATAGTTTTATGGTTAGTAAAAACTAATGAGGCCTGCTTTTTCTTGAGGACTTAAAATCCACTGGCAGAACTTTCCTTAATCTGTATTCTCGACTCTAAATTTCCAAATTCCAGGATTTTAATGCTCATTTTAGATAAAATCTAAAAGTTAAAGTCAGAGCTAAATCCTTTCCTGAAACATTACCAAACTTAATTTAAACTGGTTTAGTCTAGATGTATAGAATAATTTACTCCCTTAGACATATTTAACCTGCTTTAGAAAAAACAGACAACAATATTGGTGGTATTTTGAAATACAGCAAATGGGTCTGATTCAGAAACATGAATATAATACTAATGGCACTGGATTGCTTTAGAAACAATGTGTACAAGGTTGCTGGAGGATGGGAATACTGATGCTCACATTTTAATACATGCTCCCATCTCAAAATTGTATCCATGTGACATTAGGCTAAAATGAACATCTAATCTAAGGACAGCCTTGAAGGGGGAAGTCATGGAAGAAGTATAACCAAATGGAAGAGGAAGATGGAATGGGACACAGATAGCACCACCCTCTTTGCCCTGGGGTGATAGGTTGGATGGTATAGCTATATGAGTTTTAGGTCTTTTTTGGTGAAGAGCAAGGAAAGGCATCTCCTTCTGTCCTGGTCTATCAAGGATAGTATTGGATGGATGTCAACAGTTCAATATTCATAAACAAATTAAACTGTCAACTGGTATTTACAAATCCTAATTCTTCTGACTAACCTGAAAAAATCCAGCTTTGGCCTGCCCATATGAAACAGCTTGGAGTTTTTAACCCCATCTCCTCACAAGTGATGCCCTGGTTTGATATCTTAATCCAAGACATTATCATCACATGGACCCCACAAAGACCAAATAACCGTCCCAATACTATAGATATTGCCTGCAGCACACAAAAGATATTTTTTGCTAAGGATATAAGAAGCTTAGAGGATATGATAAATGGGAAGAAAACCCACAAATTGCCCACAGTCATAACTTGTCCTAGGGATAAACATGGACATGAAGCTCCTATACAAGCATGCTAAATTCACTATATATCAAATGAAACTAAATTGATTCCTATGTTGCAAAATTCCAAAGGAAAAAAAGTTAATTTTTAAAAACAAAACCTTGTTTCAGGTGGTATTTGAAAAAGTAAATACAGGGTTAGGATTAACCCTAAATTTCTGCTTTAAAAGCTATTAAATTTAATAGCTATATACCCAGTATACTTCAAAATATTCTTTATTCCCCAACACTAATGTATCCATTGGCAAAAAACATCAAGGACCTCCTTGAATCCCCTGCATCCCCCACCCCCCATGATGCAGCAGATAAAACTCTGGACAAGAAAAGCTGGGTGCTTGTTCCAACACACTAGCTATATGACCACTGGAAAATTACTTCAATGAGTCTATTTCCTCCCCTATAAAACAGGAATAATGGTTCTTGCCAAACTCAAAGGACTGCTATGAAGATCAAATGGGATAATGCACATGAAAGAGTCTTGCAGGAACGTTGCAAAAATACGTAGAACAAGCATGGCCCCAAAGAAAACGTATAGAACGATCCTGACAATGACCACGGCTAGCACAAGACCCCGTGACCATAACCTGATGAAGCCCCCACCTGTTTTGCTATAGCGGGGCCAGGTGCTCTTTGGAGTGGTCAGCCAGGTGCTGCGGTGGTACTGACGCTGTCTCTGCCGAGGTCTGTGGATTAAAAAATGTAGAAGGTGCTTTATCTTTGGGGACAAATCCCTTCAGGTATCTAATCACTGGGGAATACGTAAAAAATTACGAACTCTTCCACACTGCAAGTTGCAACATTACAGACCCAAAGCTTTGTGTTCCCTGTAGAGTTTCCATTAAAAATGATACTAGTGTTGTAAAGCTTAGAAGTAGGAAGAAAACCCCAAGTAGTTTTAAGAGGTTAAATCAAGTGAAATGTTGATGTCAAACACAGAAGCCAAGTGTGAAGCAAAGAGCCAGGAATGAGGGATAAGAGAATCTGGGCTCAGAGCCCAGCCCTGCTCCCTGACAAGGTCTGGGTGAACTTGGGTGAGTCACGTCACCCCTTTGGGCTTCAGTGTCCTTGTCTGTAAAATGAGGGTACACTAGATGATCTCTGAGGTTCTTTCTGATCTAAACATGATTTGATTCCCCGTATGTATTTGATCTGACTTCCTCTAGCACCACAAAATATGGGGTGCCCCAGAAGTTTTGGTGCAGTTTTAAGCTACTAAGATGGGTCAGATAAACAATCAAAGCTTAACCTGCACTAAGACTTTTGAGACACCCTGTAGCATTTGCCTCGTTCAGTTTTTGACCAAAAAACTACATCCGGGATGTAATTTTCTACTAATTTTTAATAGTCTTTGGTCTAAATCTAATTTCAAATTGCCAATGCTCCTAAGGTTAACCAAGTAAATACATCAAGACTAGCCTTGTACTCACATTGGGCACTTTATGCTTTATTGATGACAGGTAATACTAGATTAGGCATCAGATGTGGGTCACCGTGATCAAGTCTCAGAATGCCTAACAGTCACTAGTAACACAGAGTCTAAAAACATGATTTGGGAAAAAATAATGAAAGATACAAATTTTCACTTCAAAAAGAAGTTTAGAGCAAAGTCCATCTCCTTCTAAGGACTTTCATATACTAACACCAAGGATTTCAACCATTCTCTATAACTTTACTTACTTTTCCAAAATTAAATAAAAGAATACTCTTCCTTGGTATCCATACCATACTTATGGAATGCAATGATTTCTCGTCAATAGCTGTTTTAAATACTACTAAAGGAGTTCAGTTTATTTCAAGCTTTGTTCTCACCTCTGATCTCCAAGGACAGCTCGAGCTCCAAAATATCTTTTCAACTCTGTCTCTGGATTCAAGTGTCTAGGGAATTAGAAAGAAAAGACAACAAACAAAAATGAAATTTTTTTACAACTGAGAATTTTTTATCCCAACTCCAAACAACAATGGAACAGTTGAGAATCTGTGGCCTTAGAATGACCAACAGTCAACAATCAGCGATCCTGTTCACTTTGGAGTCTGAGCTACTGCCCTCTGCAGGGCCAGCCATATAGTCAGGCTAGGCACATGCTTCAGGGAAATCACCAGGATGACAGTTTCTACGGTACTTGCATTGTGTTGTGGAGGTACGTGACCTGCAGATAGACGCTCCTCTCAAAAGCAGATCACCTGTCCAACTATTAAAGATGTCTTCCACATCTTTAAAACAGTGGCAGGCTAGCAGGACAAAGCGCATCCCTAAGATGACAACAGTAAGCTAAACAAACCCATCTACTCAAAGCTGGAGAGACGGGAAAATAAGGGAAGAAGAGAGCTGAGTTCTGTATCCAAGCACTGTCCAAAGATCAATATCAGCGTGCACACTTCTGTAAGTTAAACTACCTATTTGCACCTCAACCTATATGTAAAATGCCCTGTAGTAGCTGCAGGAATAAGTTATGAACCTACAGTTCAAAGAGGAAAAGGCAGTCGTGCCAAACAACAACACTGTTCCAACATCTTCCCTTACAAAGAGAGCAAGGGAGAGGAAGGCAGGAGGATGTGCACTAAGACAGAAGGAAGTGAGAGATATAGAACAGGGAAAGCAGAAGGAAATTCATGAAGGCAAATGAGATGTAACTAGCATATCAGAGTTAAAAAAGACTGAAGATATTTTTGCTAAATTATTTTTCTTATGAGGGTTTAAGCTGGAGGAGGAGAGGGATCCCCTAACTCTCTCAAAAAAAAACCAAAAAACACCCAACACTGATATCAAAACAAAAGGCATCAAAAAAAAAAAAAAGGAAAAAAAAGAAAAAAAAGAAAGGAAAAGAAAAAAGAAATGCTGTGAAATTATAATGCCCAAGCTTGGCCCCAAAAAGGAGATATGCGATATTATTTCCCCGACTGTACAGGTGGGAGGGATGTAGAACGCTGCATATGATGGCAGATTGGGGATATACTGGTTAGTTTTGCCTAATTGTCTTCTCTTTCTTTATTCTCTGTAATAAGGGACGACTCTCTGGGAGGGGGCTTTGGAAGAACAGATTGGGAAATACAGGTGATGTAAAAGCCACTGATACCAACAACATTCTAATTTTTTTAAAAAGTACTTAAAAAAATAATTGTGTAATCAAAATCTTTCCCAACTTTATGGATGGGGTAAAGAAGGCTCAGGAAATGTTACATGCCTTGCTGAAGTCCAGACAACTACATAATGGCAGAACCAGGGTTTGATGAGAAGATCTTCACTCCCAGATCACGGTTCTTTCCCCTATACCATGTGGGGCCAACCAAACCTCCTCTGTTCTAGGAAAAGCCACTAAGGTCACAGCCCAGAGGGTCTCCAGACACTCTGGACTAAAGAATAACTGCAGGAACTAGCCAACAGAGAGGTTTGCTAACTCGTAAAAGTCCAAATGAAACAGGTACTCACCCCAAACATGTGGGTAACTATTTGTTTTCCTATGAGAGTGAGTACATCAGAAGAACTTGGAAATTAAGAGCCATGTGATTTAATTCGCCCTCTCTGCCAGCAGGGTATTAGAATAAGGAATAGAAGAGAATAAAAGAATAAAAGTTGATTAATTTGATCTGAAATGAAGAACCATATTCCATAGTAACATCTTTCAAGAAACATCTTGAAGAGTTACACAAAATAAATCTAACACTCGCCAAGGAATATTTTCCCTGCTAGAACAACAGATGGGCTTTATGTTACAGCAAAGCCTGAATGGGGAAAAAAAACAAAACTCCACCATTAGTCCGTTACCTGTGTTCGACATAAAGAAGAGGCCGACTCTCCATGATGACACTGCTATGAGTCTGATTTGAGAGACCATTGGTAACTTCAATTTTCTCTAAAATGCTGTCAATATCTTCCAGACCATCATCTTCCTGAAAACACCAAAAAGATTCAAGATAGGGGAACCATCCAAGTAATTCTGTTTTAAACTTTATCATGAGAACCATTCAACACATTAGTTATCAAGCGTTTTTGTTTCGTTGTTTGTTTTTTAAAGAGGAAGAACTAGGTAAACAGGTTTGGGATGTGGACTACACAAACATAAAATTAAAACTGTAATGCCAGGGGAGAGTGAATCATTCCTAGAAACCCATGGGTCAAGAGCATTAATCTGAAGTGCATTTGTTGACAATAAACTGAACACACATAAATGATTTCTACTTGCTACTGAATCTCAAGAGTAAACAACAGAGGGTGTACAGTTCACATGAGCAGAGAGAACTATGGACACCAGAGAACTGCTGGCCAACTATTATATAACACAGACTGGAAAAGGAAAAAAAAGGAGGCAGCTGAGTAAGAGGATTCTTGATTTTCAAAAAAAAACACATGAAACAAGGAGGAGAACAAACCTTCTTAAGCAATTTTTTTTCGTTTCAGAATGATCTAAATTATACTACTAATGAGGCCTGCTACCAGAGCACTGCCTCACAGCCTGGGAGCCAGGCCCCAAGACTTTTCCAGTGTTCCATAGACATTTCCCAGAGCAGACGCACCTTCACTGCCAGCTCCTGCTTCCTGTCTAGACTCTCCCATGCCATACCTTCACCTCTGCCTGCCCACTGTGAAGCAGGCCTCCTGCGCCTCACACAGGACATGTCACCACCACCTCCTAGGAGGCTGAATCTCAAGGGAGGGCCCTGAACAGTTTAATCACCTGCCCCCTGCTACTGTGCTTGCACTCATTCCTCAAATTCTCCCCAACTCAGTGATTCCGAATCCAGAAAACCTGTTCCTCAACCCCCACTGCTTACTAACCAAACCCTACTGCCCTTCTCTTAGCCCCACACCCATAAATGTCCCACTCCAGATTTTCCCATCCCTTTCCACTGTGTCCTGTGGAATGCATCCACGCTTAATAATTAACCAACTTGCCTCCTCAACCAGCCACTGAACCCTGGCCATCCTCTGCAGCACTGCCATGTCCAGACTCCCTTCCCACCACCACTGTGCAGCCTTTCCCCTCAGGGGCTCACATTATTTACACTCATCAGCATCACCCAACTCCTCCTGCACTCACTCTACAGAGACAATCTGCTGCCAAGCCCCGTCACTACCACCTTCCCCATGCCTGCACAATCTTTCCCTTCTCCCCACTCACCTAATCACCAGACTGGTGCAGTCTCTCACCCTTACGAGTGGATTACTGCAATAGCCTCCTGGTGGGTCTCCCTGCCTCATGGCTCACTCCAAAGCTCTCCACTCAGCTGCCAAAAAAAACCTTTCTACAGCACAGCTCTGACCCACTCAGTAAAATCCTGGAGCTCCCTGCCACCTCCATGGCCCAATACAAAATCCTTTTTGGCTTTGAAAACCTTCACAACCTCGGACCCTCCTGTTTTCCTCGTCCCTTCACCTCTCCCACCCCTGCACACTCTACTGACCTTCTCAACGTTCTTCACACACACTACTCCATCACCCGATGTGCCTTTTCTCTGAATGTCCCCAGTATGGGGCATTCTCTCTCTCATCTCCACCTACTTGGTTTCTCTGCCTTCCCTTAAGATGAAGCTCAACTTTCATCTCCACAGGAGGGCTCTCCTGGTCCAGCCCCCACACCCCAACCTACCCTTGGAGATGAATTTCCAATTACTCTGTATACATCTTGTATATACACTGTTGTTTGTGCGAGCCCCTGGAGAGCAGGCATAGTGTTTTTGCCTTTTTTTTTTATTCTTAGCACAGTGCCTGGCACACAGTAAGCACTTAATAAATGCTTGCTGAGTAAAAAAAAAAATGGGAATCAATGTTTTCAAAACTCTTTTGAGAAGCAGCCAGAGGGGAAAGAAGGGAAACAACAATTAACGACAAAATGATAAACAAGCTTTGACTCAAACCATACCGGAGTTTCTCCTATTGTGGTTTTCTTATTTTTCTTCTTCTTCTTTTTCTTCCGTGGCTTGTTGTTCAGATTAGGCTATCAAAAGAACAACAACATGGTGATCCACAGAAAAAGATAGGGAGCCAGTGCACTGAAAGGGCTGTCACCTCAACAAAGAAGCAGGATTACAATTTCTGAGGAGATAATGGATAGGAAAACTCAATGATATATGATATGGTAGGAGTAGGCTTCCCGCCTCTGCCCCCAAGTCCCCAAATGGGAATATGCTTAGGAAAAAATAAATATGGAAGTAAAGAGACTAGGTGAAAAAAGAGAGAAAGAAGGCAACTTTTGTGAGCTTTCTCCCTTTCAAGGGCATGTTTGTAAGAGCAAAGGCAGCAGATAGTAAGAGTAATCCACTGCTGGAGTTGGGAAGAGCAAGATTTTCAGTAGGTTCAGGTATCAAGGGGATTGTGCTTTGCTCCATCCTCATCATGCTGCTGAAAAAAGCTGAAGAAAATCACAAAACCAAGATGAGTGGAGCCACTACAAGTTTATGTTACATAATCCCAACTGGGCCCTCACTGTGGCAAGGCAATCCTTTTATACCTGCCTAAATCAATTCACTATCTCCCTCACCACAGTGGCTTTTCCAAACCCTCTCTCACATCTTCCCTGCCCCTGCCCACCCCAACCCACCTCCAGGTAAGAATCTTACTTATATGAACTAATACAAAGTGAGGTGAGCAGAACCAGGGAACAATCTACAGAGTAACAGCAACATTGTAAAGATAAACAATTGTCAAAGATTTACTAACTGATCAATATAATGACCCAGTGAAACTCCCAAAGACTCATGATAAAAAATGCTACCCACCTCCAGTGAACTGATGGACTCTGAATGCAAATTAAATCGTATTTTTTTCCTTTATTTTTCCTTGCCTTTTCTTTCTTGGGGGGGAGGGGAGAACATGGCTAATATGGAAATTATGTTTTGCATGATTTCATATGTATAACAGTTATAATTTTTTTTACCATCACAATGGGTCACAGAGGGGGTGGAGAAAGGGAGAGCATTTGTAACTGAAAACTGAAAAATGTTTAAAATGTCTCCCCATCCTCAAAAAACCCTGACTTGATCCTTCCACCCCCACTAGCTACTATCCTCTATCTTTCTTCCCTTTTGTGGCTAAACTGCTAAAAAGGCCATCTATAACAGATGCCTCCACTTCCTGTCTTCTCACTCTCTTATCTCTCTGCAGTCTGGCTTCTGATCTCATCACTCAACCAAGACTGCTCCCTCCAAAGTTACTAATGATCTCCCGATTGCCAAATCTAATGTCTTTTTCTCAATACTCAACCTTTTTGACCTCTGCAACCTCTGACACTGTTGATCACCCTCTTCTCTTTGATTTCACTGTAGGTTTTTGACACTGCTTTCTCCTGGTTCCCCTCCTACCCACCTGACTACTGCTTCTGTCTCCTTTGCTAATTATTATTCAAGTCATGTCTGCTAACAGTAGGGTCCCCCAAGGCTCTGACCTGAGCCCTCTTCTTTTCTCCCTCTATACTATTCCATTTGGTGATCTCATCAGCTCCCATGGTTTCAATTCTCATTATCAATTATGAGCCTCAGGTGCATAGAGATAAGAGTTGCTAATTTATCAATTATCATCTTTGTGCACATGCGTCTCTGATCTATTTATCCAGCCCTAACCTCTCTGCTGACCTCTAGTTTCACATTTCCAATTGCCTAGCAGGTATCTTGAATTAGATGTCTTACAGATATCTTAAACACAACATATGCAAAACCGAACTCATTCTATTCACCCCCAAACCCTCCCTTCTTCCTAACTTCCCTATTACAATCAGGGGCACCACCATCCTCAACTCCTAACTCTCTCACCTCCCCTATCCAATCAATGGCTACGTCCTGTCATTTCCACCTTCATAAAATCTCTCATCTACACCCCTCTTTTCTCCTCTGACACTGCCACCAGCCTGGTGCAGGCCCTCATCACTTCCCATCTGGACTATTACACTAGCCTGATGGCTGGTCTCCCTTGTTCAAAGCTCCCCACTTCATTTCATCCTCCATTATGCTGTCAAATTGATCTGCCTAAAACATCACCTTTTGGTCTGACCATATCATCCCCCATTCAGTCAACTCTGGTGGCACTTCCTTACCTCCGAGATCAAACATAAACTCTTCTGTCATTCAAATCCCTTTATAACCTGGCCCCCTCATATCTTTCTAGTCTTCTTACACTTTACTCCCTTTGAAAAGCTCTTTGATCCACTGACACTGGCCTCCATCTCCTAACTCCAAGCCCTTTCACTGGCTGTCTCTCATACCTGGAACTCTCCCACTCCTCATCTCTGCCTCCTGGCTTCCTTTGGGTGTCAGCTAAAGTCCCACCTTCTGCATGAAGGTTTTCCTAATCCTCATTAATCTTAGTGCCTTCCCTCTGAGACAACTCTCAATTTATCCTGTCTGTATCATGTTTGTACCTAGCTGTTTGCATGTTGTCTCTTCAGACTACTTGAGAGCAGGGACTGTCTCTTCCCTTTCTCCGTAGCTTCAGCACTTAGCACAGAGCCTAGCACACAGTAGGTGCTTAAGAAATGCTAGCTGACTGACTGGGCTTATGTAACTACTAGGTTCCAATCTACTATACCTTGACCTTCCTTTCAGCAAGTAGGAAAGATCATATGTCCTATAAAGAGGAATAAGTGTTATTCATTCCAAATACCTGTGAACTAGTTGATGCCAGGTTTTCACGTGAAACACCTTCTCCACCTCTTTCTTGGTTGACCTCTAGTTCTCCATTTTTAATGTCATCGTTATTCTCTGCGCCCTCTTGTACCTTCAGTCTGTAATCTTCTCCCCTTGCTTTGGATAAAAGTTCATCCTCAGGTTCTTCACTGGTTATCTGTGTCAGTGAAAAGAAAATAAATTCCCAAAGTCTTGGGAGAAATGATTGCATTGTAGATCTATTAATGGGTGTGGGCCACAGTTTGAGATATTAAGATATACGTTAAACAAGAGAATAGGAAATATAAGCTACTTTCAAAGTTGGCTCTTGGGGTGGGAAAGAAACTTAAGTTCCAAGTATTTATTACTAAATAGCAGTAATGTGTAACATAGGGGCAGCTAGGTGGCATAGTGGATAGAGCACCAGCCCTGAAGTCAGGAGGACCTGAGTTCAAATCCGGCCTCAGACGAAACACTTCACACGTACTAGCTGTGTGACCCTGGGCAAATCACTTAACCCCAACTGCCTCCAAAAAAAAAAAAAAAAAGTAATGCGTAACATAAAAATGTAGCCAACATGAAGGATTTCTCACAGTTGGATACTTCCGAAAGGATCCTAGTTCAGTTACTACTGTAAATGAATGCAGACAAAGGCTGTAGATTAAAAATGAAAAGTAATTTTGGAAATCTGCATTTTAGCCATATATCCTCTGCTGACATCCTGATTTGTTACATCATTGTGGCAGAAGGAGATGCCCTTTATGAAAAAGACACCTTTTTGAAAAAGATAGGCAGCTGCAAAGATTTTGAATCCAAAGAGAATTATCTTTCCTTCTTACCTTTAAGGACATCAATATTCTTTTAGTCACCCAAGTTCAAAAACTTGGTGTCATCCTCAACTCTTTTCTCTCACTCACCCCATATCCCATAACCAATCAGTGGCCACATCTTGTCATTTCTTTCTCAATGAGAGCTGTTGCATATGTCCTTTTCTCTCCACTTCTATGGCCACCACTTATATCAGGCCTTCATCACCTCTCACCTGGACTGTTACAATAGACTCTTAATTGGTCGTCCTGACTCAGGTCTCTCCCCAAACCAATTTATCTTCCACACAGCTGCCAAAGCAATTTTCCTACACTGTAGATCTTACTATGTTACCTCCCAACTGAATAAACTCCAGTGGCCCCCTGTTACCTCTATCATCAATCACAAACTTTTCTGTTTAGTTTTGAAAGCTCTTTACAACCTGGCCCCTTCCCATCTTTCCAGTCTTTTAACACATTACTTCCCTCCAGATATTCTAAAGTCTAGCCAGTGACCTACATGCTAATCTTCACACCACCCATCTTCTTCGAGTCTTTTCATTGTTTGTCCCCTGTGTGGGATGCACCCCCTCCTCAACATCTCTGACTATGATCAAGGTCCCCCTTGCAGGAGACCATTCCCTAGCCTCCCTCCCCCCTCAGCTGCTAGTGCCTTCCCCTCAAAGGTAACCTTGCACTGACTTTTATTTATCTTATATGTAATGATTTGTGTAGATGTGTTGTGTTCCCCATTAGAGTGTTAGCTTCTTGGACTTGGGGTTAGTTTAGCTTTTTCTTTGTATCCTTAGGGCTGAGCATAGTGCCCCAAACAAAGAAAGCACTTCAATAAATGCTTTTTGATGGACTGATTGTTGACTAAGAACCAGACTACAAAAACTCAGAAAGTACTGTCACCAGAGAGATTATTACAAGTTGATTAATTCCTTACAGCAAAAGCAACTCATGTAACCATGTAAGGGCAGGGTGATTAATTGGGGTTTGTGAATTTTTTAAAAAAAACTGATAACTTTATTTCAATGTAATTAGTTTTGATTTGTAACCCTATGTATTTTATGCTTCTAAAGACAATCATTCTAAGGGATCCATAGGCTTAACTAGACCACCAAAAGGCACAAAAATATAAAGAACTCCCGATTTAAGATATTTGGTACTTTAGTAGAAGTAACATCTGATCATCCAATAAATTCCAGTAGCTTCCTATTACCTAGGATCAACCATAAACTCCTCTATTGGACATTTAAAGATCTTCACAACCTGGTACATCTTGGTAGGAGAAGACTGACAATGGCCTGGACAGGTGGTGGAGAGAGCCTGCAGGAGGTTAGGGGCAATGAGGATAGAGAAGAGGGGATGGACACCTAAGATTCTGCAGGGGTGGAATCAAATTCAAACCAACTGTTACAAGTAAAGGAGACGGAAGGGTCAAGGTATAACCCCAAAGTTTTGAGCATAACAACTGGATGAATGGTACAGCCACTGATAGAAATAACAAAGTCGAGAGGAGTCAATTTTGGGGGAAGATCTTAAGTTAACTATGGGACATGCTGAATTTATGGTAACAGTAGGACTTCCAGTCCCATATTAATAACCATCTGTTGAATGACATCTCCACCTGGATTGTCTTTCTTTTTGCTTATATTAGTGTCCCTGATACATAGCCTGGTACACAGTTAGCACTTAATAACTCCCTCCCTTCCTTGCACAGGCATCTTAAACTTGTTATGCTCAAAACATAACAAGGTATTTTCCCCAAGATGCCCTCCCCTTTTCTGTTGATGACACTATCTTTTCAGTGATCCAGGACCAGAAATTTGGGTGACTTTTCCCCCTCCATCAACTCCCATATCAAACTGCCAACTCCCATTGATTATGATTCCATATTATCTACCTCCTCTTCCAATTCTTTTGCATTTCTCTAGTCTATGTCGTAGCCCTCCCCAAGCACAAAGTAACCTCCTTGAAGGCAGAGAATGTATTGGTTTTATTCTTTGTGACTCCAGCCACCAGCACTCATAGGCACTTAATAAATATGAAATGACATTGAACCCCTCCCAGACACAGAGGCTGCAGCACATTTTTTGAATTAAATTCGCTCAATTACTGGAGTTGGGGTAGAAGAGGGTAATGGCTCTTGGATCAGGAAGACAGGCTCCAATCCTGCCTGTGTGACCCAGTCATGTCATTTAACCCCTCAGCTTCTGAGCTGCACTGGTAAAGGGAATTTCCTCATTTGGGGGTTCTTAAACCTAAACCAATGAAATCACAGGACCCAACCAAACTAAAAAATTCAAAACACAACTGTGGCCTTGACAACTCTGTTTCAGAAGTTTTTCAATTCTGATGGCATGCTCTGACAATGAGTTCATGATTTTTCAAATGATGAGTTAATTTTGTTCATCAGACTCCTCACCTCCTATGACCTCCATCTTCAGTCATCAGACCTTTGGTCTCATCATCACCAAGTGTCCGGGACTCCTGCTTCGATTGGGAGCTTTTTCCATTTCTCCCTCTTCCTCTCTCCTCCTAGCCCTACTCTTCACCTCTCCTATCCCAGCCCACCATCTCTTCCCTTCAAAGTCAGCCACACAGATGTACAGTTTAATTATATGCCATCTCTACCCTTGACTCTCTTGTCCTCCTTGTCCTATCCTGGACATGACTTGCCAAGGCCTAACTCTACGTTACCCTTTCTCCCCTACTGACATGCTGCCAAATGCTCCTAGAAAAAGTCAAGCAACCAAGACAAATGCCATCATTACCAATTTGCTATTTATTTAAACAGGGTCCTTAATGCTACACAGTAATTCTTTTATTCCTTCCTCTGATTCAATTTAACAAGTACACAGTGAGCAACCTACTACATGACATACACGGTATTAGGCACTGGGGATACAGATAGTCTCACTCTCCCCAGTGGCCAGTCCAATCTTTTCATTTCTTCTCAAAACTCCTAACCATGATCACTACTATGGAAGTGTTCTGCACGACTACCCATGTATAACCTGTACTGAGTTGCTTGAAGGTGGGTGGGGAGGGAGAAAGGGAGAGAATTTGGAACCCAAAGCTTTAAAAACAAATGTTAAAAATTGTTTTCACATGCAACTGGGAAATAATATACACAGGCAATGGGGTATAGAAATCTATCCTGCCCTACAGGAAAATACAAGGGGAGGGGATAAGAGAAGGGGGGGGATAGAAAGGAGGGAAGATTAGGGGAAGGGGTATTCAGAATGCATGGATGGGGGAGGGTCGAGACAGAGAAAAAATTTGGAACTCAAAATCTTGTGGAAGTTAATGCTGAAAACTAAAAATTAATTCATTAATAAAATTTTTAAAAAAAGAAAAGAAAAACAAAACTCCTAACCATGCTCTTCTACTTCTCTCTCACCAAAGGGGTCCCCTCTAGCTTTTCCAAGAAAATGAAGGCCACCTGTCACCAGTTTCCTTTTCTCTACTTCACAGCTTTTCACCATCTCCCATTCTCTTCTTTGCTGCTGCTTCTCTGGGGAGGCAGCCCTATTCTTGGCCACAGTAAACAATTCTACTTATGCCCTCAAAACCATCCCCTCCCACCTCTCCAGGATTCTTGCCTCTTTGCTAATTTCTCCTCTCTTAGGGGCAGCTAGGTGGCACAGTGGATAGAGCACCGGCCCTGAAGTCAGGAGGACCTGAGTTCAAATCTGACCTCAGACCAAACACTTGACACCTTACTAGCTGTGTGACTCTGGGTAAGTCACTTAACCCCAACTGCCAAAAAAAAAAAAAAAAAAAATTTCTCCTGTCTCGTCTTCAATCTCTCTTTATCCACTGGTTCTTTCCCTGCCACCTACAACCATTTCTCAGGTCATTCGCATCTTCAAAAAAAACCTTCACTTGATTCTGTCATCCTCTCAAGCTATCATCCCATTTCTTTTCTCCCTTTCACAACCAAACACTCATCATCTGTACTTGTTGCTTCCATCTCTGACCTCTCACTACTTCCCCTTCTGACATAAACTGTGCTCGCCAAGATTAACAAGATCATCTTAACTGCTCAATTCCAATGGCTTTTCCCCAAGTCTTCATTCTACTTGTCCTCTCTGCAGCTTGAGAAAGCATCAACTAGCCCCCTTCCTAGATCCTTTTTCTTCCCTTGGTTTCCAGGGCAAGGCCCTCTCTAGTTATTCTATTACCTGTCTGACCATTCCCTTTGAGTCTCCTTTACCAGATCATCATTCAACTCCTAACAATAAATATTAGCATCCCCAGGATTAGAGAATCCTTTTCTTTTCTCTCCAATTCCTCTATTTTGGTGATGTCATCGCCTTCTACTGGTTCAATATCATTTCTATGCACAGAACTCTCAAATGTAAAGATTCAGCCTAACGTCTCTCCTGAATTCCAAAGCTTCAGTTTTATCTGCTGGTTTTATGCTAGCTGGGCATCTCAAACAAGTCCAAAACTGGATGCATATCTTTATGAATTCAACTTCTTTATTTCTGTTGAGAGCAGTAGCATTCATTCAGTCTCAGTCTTTCTTGGTCTCCCTCTCTCTCCTCTCCTGATTCCCCCTAGTTGTCAATGCTCCTAAAATTACTCTGTATATACTTTTTAGTTGCTGCCACATGTGCTGTACTCCCTTAGTAGAATGTCCACTGTCTGACAGTAGGGACCGCATTTTTCTTTTTGTCTTTGTATCCCCAGTTCCTGGCATAATAACCTCACCTCTGCCACTTGTAAGTATGTGCTCTGACAAATCAAACACAACTGCCAATCCAAATCTGACTTTTTTCCATGATTCTCAGATTTACAGAGTGTTAAGAGCTAAAAGGGTGCTTAGATATCATCCAATCCAACCCTCTCAATGCCTCACATGTTTCCTATAACACTTCAGTTTCTTCATATGTTATGTAGGAATATGAGTACTTGTACTATTTAACCCCACAGGTTATGATGATGATCAAATGGGACAATTTATCTAAGTGAATAAACCATATAAACACTACAAACATAAGCTTTTATTACTTGGATACAGCCCTTCTGTTATTATATCATAATCATCATCATAATAAAACTCTTAGTGGTGATAAAGAAAGCTTCCTCTTCCCCCATATCACTGTTCCCCAAATCTCTCCTCCTACTTACTACATGTGTGACCTTGGCAAGTAATTTTAAGATCACAGAATCCAGAAGGGACATTAAGGATCATCTAGTCCACTTCCCTTCTATAGGCCTCAGTTTCCTCATCTGTAAAATGAGGAAGTTAAATTAGATCTCTAAGATTTCTGCCAGCTCTAGAGCCTATTCAACTAAAAAAAACCGATCTAATGCCTACAACATATACAAAACAATCTGTTAGGAAGTAGAGGATAAAAAAAATAAACAATCTCTGCTTTCCAAGAGCTGACATTCTACTGGGAAAAATAAAGGGCACAAAGATAAGTAAATATTTAAAAAAGGTGGGAGCACTACTAAAGGAGTTATCCTTTTTTCTGTATATCACAGTTCCCTTTAGCAAGCTGGTGAAGCCTATGGACCCCTTCTCAGAACAATATTTTTAAATGCATAAAGTAAAAGCTGAGATTTACAAAGGAAACTGATTATAGCTGTCTCTTTTTTTCCTCTCTCTCTGTATCTTAACCTGGGATCCATGGGAGTCTGGGAACTTGGACAGAAAGAAATATATTTATAGATTTATCTATACTGATAGTTCGATACAGACCAAGAGATATAGACAGGTATCTATGTATCTAGATATGTAGATAAATCTAAATAGAGACATAGATACAGGTAGCTACCAATGTAGGCATAGATATAGATATCTATACAGATAAGTATTTATGTAGGTAGATAAATTTAGATATAACTTGTACAGATAAATGAATCTAAATATAGATATCTATCTATAGATAAGATAAATATCTATAGACATAGATATTGATAGATATCGATCTAGATATAGGTGCCTATAAATAGATTTGGATATAACTCTATCTAGACAGCTACAGGCAGATAAATAGATATGTAGACAGATAAAGCTACACACACACTTTTCCCGTGCAAGTTCACGGACCCCCCCCCCCCAAGAACTCCCGGTTAAGAGCCCCGGATAGGCCATCAGGAAAGGCCTGGGGTAGGGGGCGGCACCGCGGCTGAACCTTGCAGGGGGGGCTAGGAGGAAGGAGGGAGTCCCAGGCAAAAACGCGGGGGCGGGAGATGGAATGCCCTGGGATCCCGGCCCCAGCCCGGGGGACTCCTCCCCCTCCACGACGTGGCCCTACATCGCCCCGCCCCCGGCTCCTTCCCGGTTCCTCGGCGGCGCGCCGGCCCCGCCCCTCACGCCGACGCCTCCAGCCCCGCCCTCTCCTCCCCTTCCCCCGCTGCCCCCTTCCCACCCCCGCTCCTTCCTTCTCCCCCTCCCCCCTCCGGCCCCTCCCTTCGGCGTCTCCTCACCAGCTCGTACAAGTTGCTAATGGCGCTGCGCTCCCTCCTTCCTCTCCTCCGGCGAGGGTCGCTCGAGACCTGCCCCACTTCCTCGTCGTCCTCCTCGCCGCCGTCATTGCGATCCTCGAGGCCTAGGCGCAGGGCCCCGGGTTCCAGGGGCTCCTGGCCCCGCTGTTCTCCCCGCAGCCTCCGGAGGGCCCGGCGCGACATAAGACCCAACGGCTGCGGACCCGCCGCGCTTGCGTACTGCCGCACCGGGGCGTGGGCGGGGGGAGAATGCTGCGCGTGCGCGCTGCAAGCCGTGGGCCCGCCTTGGCTTCCCTTAGATTGAGTGACTCGGAAGCCAGCCACGCCCGCTCTTAGGCTCCGTGAGCTTTGAACCCGCGCAGCCAATCTCTGCTCAGGAGGAAGGGGGCAGGGGCGGTTCTTAGCCGCCTGCAGCTTTTTCAGATTCCCGTAAAGCAGGTATTAGTTTAGGGATTCCAGTTATTTAAAAATTGTAAACTTCTGAACTTAAACACCACAATAAAATAGGGCAGCTAAGGGGCGCCTAAGTGCTCAGAGCTCTGGGCCTCGAGTCAGCAAGACCTGGGTTCGAATGCAGCCACAGACGCTGCCTAGCTGTGTGACCCTGGGCAAGTCACAACACCTTTGCCTGCCTTAGTTTCCTCAGCTGTAAAATGGGGGATAATTGTAGCGCCTGCCATCGCTGGCTTGTTGTGAGGATCAAATGAGATGTTTGTAAAGCAGTCTGCAAATGCCAGTCATACAATGGAAAAAACCATACATGAAACTGCAAAACTTCATTCTGTTTTTCCCTTTTTAACAATATGACACTTTGGAAATCACAATAATTTTTATCAGATGTTCACATTCTGTAAAAGTAAAAAAAAAAAAAGATAAAATATAACAAGTTTGTTCCTTATCCAAAATTAATTAGCTGATACAGTGATAAGGGAACAGCAAAAAAACCTATCTACAATATCCCTGTAAAAAAGCAAAAAAGCAATCTCTTCTGCGTTAAAAGAAGAAAAAAAAGTAGTATTCTATGCTGTTACAAACAATATATATTTATGAATGTATCATATATATATACAATCCCTGTGACATGAAATATTCAGTGCTTCTGCGTCCTTTCATCTAATAGTGCCCTGCACGGTTAAAATGGTTAACACATACAGAGTTTTGAAAACCATAAGGAGATATATAAATGCTAGCTATTAATATTCTGAATATTGTTATTATGCTTGCAATACTTCACCAGATTTTAAATCTGGATAAAACAGACCCATTGATGGAGTCCCACCTGCCAAAGGCCCAACACACATAGTGTTGCTATATACTCTTTACTCCTTACAGGCCAGATGCTGGCAGACCATTTGGTAACTCTATCTCATAGGAAATTCAACTTGTAATTTTAAAAGCTTTCATACTTATTCGTGTTGTTGGCAAACTATCTGGTAATTCGATCTTATAGTAAATTCAACTTGTAACTTTAAAAGCTGTCATACTTATTTGTGAATCTTCCTTTGCAGTTTTAAAAAATGCTTAAACTTCCCTGCTTCTTTTTCTTTTTCTTTTTTTGGCCCCCTCTCCCATTTACTTCCAGTTAGGAGAAAAAAAAAAAGGAAAGAGAAAACTTTATAAGAAATCAAGCAAAATAAGTTCCCCCGTTGGCTATGTCTGATAATGTAACATCTTATTCTGCATCTTGATTTCATCACCTCTCCCTTAGGGAGAGTCGTTGTGGTCAGTCACTGTTCTGCCTTTCACAGTTCTTTTTCTTTATATGTAATGTTGTTTCTGGTTCCTGATTACTTCACTTTGCATGAGTTCATATAAGTCTTTCCAGATTTCTTTGAAACAGTCCTTTTCAAAGCTATCAATAAGAAATTCCCCATACACAGCAAAATATTTACAGCAGCACTTTTTTATGATTGCAAAGAATTGGAAACAAAGCAGATATCCATCAGTTGGGAATGGCTAAACAAATTGTGTTATACATGGATGAAATGGAAGAGTACTGTGCTGTAAGAAATGGACAAATGTGGTGAATGCAGAGAAGCCTGGGAAGCCTTCCATGAATTGAGGCAGAGTGAAGTCAGCAGAACCAGGAAGCCATTCTACCCAATGACTACAACAACATAAATGAAAAGAACGACATGACAAAAAATCAAAAGTGAATGTAACAAAATTACATAGATCAAGCAGTACTCGAATGGAGGGATATGAAAAGAAATCCCCAACCTCCCCCTTCACGGAAGTTGGCAGTCCACAGGTATTACACATTGCACATGTTTTCAGACTTTTTCAATGTATCCATCAATTGGGCTGATTTTTTTTTCCTCTTTAAAAAAATACTATTTGTTATATGAGATGGCTCTCTGGGAAAGAGAGGGGGACAGATAGTGGGGATAAATATGGATGATGTAAGAAACAGAAGACATCAATAGAAACTCATTAAAAAAGAGACTATCCTTTTCATCACTAAATCCAGTTCAGATCTCACCTCTGATACTACTTGTCTTGGCTATGGTTGAACAACAACATAAATAAGAGCACAGATTCACTGAAATATTAATGTTTACCATCCCAAGGAGATAATTTGAGGGACAGGTTTTGAGATGCAGACACAGCAGGGTACAGGGGCTAGACTGTAGGACTTGTGGACTTTGGGTCTGAATCCCACCTTAACTATTTGATGACCCCCCAGGCAAGTCATTTCATCTTTGTAGGCCTCAGTTTCCTCATTTGTGAAATAATAAAAGCACATACCTTTTCCAGGCTTGTTGGGAGCGTAAAGTGAACTAATATTTGTAAAGCGCTTTGAAAACCTTGAAGAGCCAGCCAAGAAGAGATTGAGTAACTTCTTCAAGGTCAGATTGAAAGTCATAAACTGTGTTGTCATGGAGTTGGAGGGGGCCTCAGTGGCTGTCTGATCTGACACATACCCAGAAAAGAATGCCTACTACATGATTCCCTCTCTCTCCCCATTCCCAGCTCTCCCTTATCTGTAGTTTTTTCTCTATTACTATGTAACCTGCTAGACTTCTTCCCACTCCTGTGAATAGGTTGAGGGGGCGGTGTTCCACAGGTGTGGACCAATGCATATGACATCAGCTTTTTTTGGATGTATTGATTGGTTTTACTGAATTTTAAAAATCTTTTTTCTCTTTTTTGGCTGTTAAGGGTAGTTCCAGCCCACCCAGGGACCCGTGTCTTAAAAGTGTTTTTAGAGCAGCTAGGTGGCTATAGTGGATAGAACATAGGTCCTGGAGTCTGGGAGACTCATCTTTGTGAGTTCAAATCTAGCCTTGGACACCTACTAGCTGTGTGACCCTGGGCAAGTCACTTAACTTTGTTTGCCTCAGTTCCCCATTTGTAAAATGAGCTGGAGAAGGAAATGGCAAACTACTCCAGCAGATCTCTGCCAAGAAAACCCTAAATAGGGTCATGAAGAATCAGACACAACTGAAAATGACTAAACAATGACCATAACTTTTAGCATGGTGCCTGGCATACATTAAACACTTAATATAGTGTTTACTATCTATCTAATCTAGTTATTCAGACTTATCTTGAAGACCTCCAGTGAGGGGGAACAACACAGTGTCTCCCAATGTGATCCGTTCCCCTTCGTGTGTATCTCTAATTATTAGGAAGTTTTTCCTGACTTCAAGCCTAAATCTGCCTTTCCGGAGTATCCCTTTTTTGGGGAGTAGGGGTAGAGGCAATCAGGTTAAGTGACTTGCCCAAGGTCACACAGCTAGTGAGTGTCCGAGGCTGGATTTGAACTCGGGTCCTCCTAACTTCAGGATCGGTGCTCTATTCACTGTGCCAATTAGCTGCTTTCCCCCCCTCCCCAACTCCACTGCCAATCGGAGTATTCCTTTGATCAATCTCTGAGGCCAAACCTAACAAGTTTAATCTCTCTTCCATATAACAACTTTCGGATATTTCAGAACAGCTATTAGTCTGTGCTACACACCCCAATAGGGTATGAATTCAGGGCCCTTAGCCATCATCGTCTACAATGTGCCAGGCGCTGTGCTAAACCCTTTATGATTATTATCTTATTTGATCCTCACAACAGTCCTGGGACGTAGGTGCTGTTATTACCTCTTCCCCTTTTTACAGATGAGGAAACTGAGGCAGACAAAGGTTAAGTGACTTGCCCAGGATCTCCCAACTGGCATGTGTCTGACTCCGGGTCCAGCTGCTCTAGAGTGAATTACCATCCAGTGAACCTATCATCTATCCAGACCTGAAAGCTATGTTCTTCCCTGCAGCCGATAATTACATGAGCTTTTTTGACTGTCACATCACATTATTGACGTATTGCTCTGGTAGTCCATAAAAAAAAAAAAAAGTTTTTCAGATGGACTTCTATCTAGCCATGCTCCCTCCCCTATCTTATAGTTTCATGGATATAGGCAGTTAGGGATTGAGAAGGGGAGAAACTTGTTTTGCCAATGCACATCAGATCCTTCGGGGCAGTATAATGTTTTAGATTAATTGTGTTGGGGATTGAGCATAATTGAGCGTTGCCTTACCCAAGAACACAGAGTCAGGGTGTGTCTGAGGCAGGCTCCATAATTGTATAATCAATTTGTGGAACTGTGTCCGAAAACACAGAACCCAAGAAAGAGGCTGAAATTTGGAGCTCCTGGGAGTGAAATAAACATATGGGATTAAGAATCTATCGACAAGCATTTATTAAGCACCTAGAGATGCAAAAACAAAAATGAAACCTGTTCCCACCCTCAAGGAGTTCACAACTGTGTGATTAATTTCAGTTTAACTTCATTAAATTAATTAATTAATTTCAGCTTCGAAGCCTTTATAATCACTAGCTGCAACTAAATGTTAAGCCTATCGGGGGAGGGAAAGCAAAGATACAATATGGCTCATATATAGGCAGTGTATATCATGTATAATGTAGAAACCTGACTTTGCAGAAAATTCAGCGGCTGATAGACCTTTGCCTCATGTTCTGGCATCCAGTGTCCCTCTGACTGGTCGATTTGAAGCAGTGAGTCCCAGCTAACCCTCAATGGGAATAAATGACGTAACCTGCCTTTTCATGTAAGTATCTGCAAGTATTACAAAACAGTGTTGCGTATTAGCACCACACCTAGAAAATGGATGCAATCACTTAGTGCTGTTGCTCTTTCATTAGTAACAGGCACTGCCCTCTGCCAATCCCAGGAAGCTAATCAGACTGCAGAACAGTTATCTTGA